AGTTGTTTGTGCATTTCCAAATCTTCCTTGCCGGAACAATGCACGTAGCTAAGTAAGAGCATAACTCGGTGGAGGTGGTTTAAGCTCCATCACCTCTCTGTAGTGAGGAAGGACAGCCTTCTCTTCTCCAAGCTGAACAAGCAGCAGGACCTTAAGACCTTAAGAGGCAATAGAATATTCTTCCTGGTGTAATTGGTAAAGGGGTAAGACTTTCTAGGGGATTGGTACATATGGCCGAAGTGAACTGGGATGAAGGTATCCTTGTCTCTTTTTTTTCTTTCCCTTAATCTTGTATTCATTTCATTTTGCTTTCATCCTCTGTACTTTGTTTACAGCTTTACAGCATTAAATGCAAGTAAGGAGAAGAAGAAGAAGAAATACTCTGGCGCTCTTAGTGTCAAGGAGATGCTGAAAAAGTTTCAGAAGGAGAAGGATGCGCAGAAGAAAAAAGATGAAGAGCAGAAAGTGTCAACTCCTTCACTGGCAGAACCTCCAGCCCCAAGGGAGACGGAGGCGATGCCTGACCCTTTGCTCTCGCTCTTTGGCCATGCCAGTGATAACGACCTGCTTCAGGCAGCGACGGCTATGGACTCGTTAACTGACCTAGACCTGGAGCGACTCCTCAGTGAATCCCCAGAAGGGAGTCCTTTTCCTGATGTGGAGGATGGGAGCGATCCTATTGGGACGGGTGTGGAACAGGATTTCAAGCAACCACCATCCCTCCCAGAAGGCCTGCCAACTCCTTTGGAGAAACGCATCAAAGAACTGGCTCAGGTATGGCAGTTCATTGCAGGGCGGTAGGATTGAGTGGTTACTGGAGAGGGAACAGCTCTGCTGGGTTTGTGTAGCTTCACCCAGAGACAGAGCACACTCCAGCGGGGGAGTTTCGCAGTGCCACGTCAGATTACACCTTTGTGTCATCCTGTTTTCTCTTATTGCCAAGTCACTTTCTTGAATGCCCAGATGTCAGGTAGTGTCAAAGTCCTTGACCTTGTGTCGTGGTTTAGCCCCAGCCAGCAACTAAGCACCACGCAGCCGCTCGCTCACTCCCCCTACCCTGATGGGATGGGGGAGAGAATTGGAGGAGTAAGAGTGAGAAACACTCTTGGGTTGAGATAAGAACAGTTTAATAATTGAAGTAAAGTAAAATAGTAATGATAATAATAACAATATAATAATGATAATAATAATAGTATACAAAGCAACTGATGCACAATGCAATTGCTCACCACCCGCTGACCGATACCCAGACAGCTCCCGAGCAGTGATCGCTACTCCCCGGCCAACCCCCCCCCACTTATATACTGAGCATGACGTCATATGGTATGGAATAGCCCTTTGGTCAGTTTGGATCAACTGTTCTGGCTGTGCCCCCTCCCAGTTTCTTGTGTACCTGGCAGAGCATGGGAAGCTGAAAAGTCCTTGACTAGCATAGGCAGTACTTAGCAACAACTAAAAACATCAGTGTGTTATCAACATTCTTCTCCTACTAAATCCAAACCACAGCACTATGCCTGCTACTAGGAAGAAAATTAACTCTATCCCAGCTGAAACCAGGACACCTTGTTATCTATTGAATGTAACACTCAGCATCCCACCTGTCATTATGGTTTCTTTACCTCTCTTGGCAAAGTATCGACCTGATGCAAGAGGTAACTTCCAAAGTCAATTTAACATGAATGAACTTAAAATGTGAACTAATGAGGCTGAAGGACAAATTCCACCGTAATAGTTTTAATGTGCTGTGATGGTCAGGACAGTGTCTGTGAAGTGGCATATAGTGTTCTGTATGTAAAATAAGTGGGTGCAGCTGGAAAGCATTACCTGTTCTACAGTGTGAGAAGGCGTGAAAAGCCCTGTAGATGGGGCTTGAGGATTTGTTAGAACCGTTTCCTGTGTCATACACAGGTAGATGCCTTCACTGAAGCATGGGTACAATTTGGCATGCCCTGCATTGGAGCCATATCACTGGCAATTTGGGTTCTTTCCCCATCTTTAACATCTCGGTGTTGGGAGACTGTTGAGGGAGTGGAGCATATCAGAAGGGTGATCCCACATCTTTTCACCAGTAGCTAGCTCCTCCTGGAGCTGGACCCCTGCGGGAGTCCCCCGTCCTCTCCGAAATGTTGTGACCCGCTTTGGGAACCGCTGTTCCGGAGAAGCAGGGAAAACATTGGGTGCTGGTCAGAGATCCCTCTCCTGGCATGTCGAAGAAGTGCACTTTCAGGCTTGCTGTGGGCCTTTTCTGGTGTGAGGGCTGTCACCATCAGCCTGTTGGCAGATGCTGAGATGTTTTGTTCCTGCTATTAGTGTTGTTTTTAAACATTGATTTTAAGTCATTAACAGTGCTCTTAGACCTCTGTGGTGCTGTGTGTTCTGCCTTCTGGGGCACATCAATTTAGAGCACCTGTTACTTAAGCATCTCTTACTTAATAACTCCTGTTACTAAAGATAAGCTTCTGTTAAAGATAACTGTGTTCTGCTGAGAAATTTTGAATGTGCATAGTGGTGGTGAGCAGATGGAAGAGGAGGAATTGAAGAAAGTATCGCCATAGCTGATAAAAAGAACAAGCACTTCATGGATGTTTCTATTTGCTATTCAGGCTGTTAACAGAAAACACTGAAACAGCTGTTTCTGAACTGTATCTCAGCTAAAGGAGAATATTATGGAGGCTCTCATGATATCAAGTTAATTGTTTTGTTGCTGCAAGGTAGTGTCATAGCAGACTACCCACAGATTTTTCTGGTTAGATTTTCCTGCTGCTGTCTCTCTTGTTGCTGGACTGTGTATGTTAAGAAAAGAAACCAAGGAGGAGAAATACAAGATTTAACAAGCTGAAGCCTCTGGGTCAGTTAGGACTTTGGGACATGTACTCTCGTGCAGGTGGGAATGAAGAGGTGCCATTCCTCTGTCTGAGAGCCAGGTCTCTTCCATCCCAGCAGGTGGGAGCATCTCTTGGGTTAAATGGAGCCTTCAGGCATTTCCTCTTCTGCTTGAACTGATTTGATTTTGACTCTCCTTCTTAAAAGAATTTTCCTGTTGAGGACTCTCTTTAGCATTGAGCCTTCTCCTTTGATACCACCAGCTGTCTATGTGACCTACTGCTGACAGAGAGGAATGTATACCTTTTGGGCATAAATTAATTACTTACCAGCCTCAACCTTGAAGTATTAAATCAGGGGATTTCAAAATCTTGCCCTTCTTTCTGGGTCTCCTTTCCCATGCCAGGAATCACTAGCTTGATATGGTGCCTCGTGGTGAATCCCAGCTTTGTTTACATCCCCACTCAGAAGAGACTGAAAGCTCTTGGCAGTTTTCTACTATCTCATTCATCTCTTGGAATTATTTTCCCACTGGACATATTTTTCATGGGTGTGATTTTTGGACAGTGCTCTGTATGTGCAGTCATAGGTCTGGAAGCTTCCTGAAGAGGATTTTTTTTTTTTTAGCTTCCATGGTGTTGATTGGAAACAACATATCCCCTGTGGCTGCTACTCTTTCTGTTGGTTTCTTGGCTTAGCGTCCAGATTGGTCTAGAAAGCCTGATGATAAGTATCCCTAACCCTCATTAAATGTGACTAGGATGGTCTTCCCTGTTCTAGGGACAAGCTCTATGCTCATATTACTCAACCTAACAGCTCTAGTGTGAAGTTACAAACATGCCCTAGAGTTCTAGGAGTCCCTTCTCCCCGTGGGAAGTATGCCAAGGAAGCCAGTGGCCACCAAGCCATCTCCTTTGCCCCATTAAATGGAGAAATCATCACTCTACTGTGGTAACTCCAGTGCACTCAACTCCAGTGTATCTGCACAGGAGAATCCAGAATGGGAAGGTCTGTGGGCAGGACATGGTCTTGCCAGTTCAGATGGCAGGGTTGGACTTGCAGTGAGGAGGCATAAGAGGAGAGGATGCAGTCTCTCTTCTGTCTGTCAATTGTTGCAGCTTTTAGCCCATCTACAGCAGGTAGCTGGTGCAGAGTTTGGAGGGATAAAACTGTGCCTTGTTTTACAGTATTTCTGAAGTAGTTCAAAAAACACTTGGTTGCTTGTGCCTGTCTGTATCTGTGAACTGATGATGACTTGTGTTATTTGCTAATTTCCAGGCCGCCAGAGCTGCAGAGGGAGAAGGCAAACAGCGATTCTTCACTCAGGATATCAACAACATCATACTGGAGTAAGTGCTGCCAGGAGAGAAGAGTGGGAAAGGAAAATATTAGGCAGAGTGTTTTTGGTAAATTCAGGAGCAGGTTTAGCAGGACTTGTGGGGGTGTCCTTATACAGGTCCTCTACGCAGAACATGCCTACGTGAAAGTCTCTTAGAAATGGCCTTCAGTTGAAATATGATGTATAACTGAGGAAGGAGAAGATTGGAAGGGATGTATCCAGGCCTCCTGTTCTCAAGATGATGCTTGATACCCGTGTACTTAAATTTGGTCACTTGACCTGTGATTGTAGCTTGATACAAGAACAGTAAATTTCTCCCTGTCAGAGATGTCAGGCGTGTTCTTTGCTATTTAAGTTATATGCTATATGGAATATTTTATAACTGGGATAAGGCTGCTGTGTTCAACTGGTTTTCTTTGCAGACTGGAGGAACTCCATTACTGCTCTGTGGTTTTGAGTCCTCCAATTATAGAATGCCAGTGTTGCTTCACGCAGCTGTTGATAATGGCTTCATTCTTCTTCAAGTGTCTAGAGAAGGCTGATGAATGCACACAGCTTTGTGATCATCGCAGTGTAATACTTACACAGAGGCTTTAATTTCATTAAGGTTTATCAAGGCACTTGAAGGGAATTGCTGAAGGGAAGTTTGGGAGTCTGTTTCCCTCTTGTTTCAAGTGGTGATTACCACCTTTTAGCATTCCAGTGCTGACTGCACAAACAGTCCTAACCTTTTTTCAAACTGATAGCTTTAACCACATTCAGTTGTGATTTAAATAGATTTGTATGACTTTGCCATAGAATCAGTTGGGGTTTTTTACACTTCTTATTGACACTGAGAGATGGCTTAAAAAGCTAAGTCTCTGAAGTTATACGTAACTGTGTAGATAGAATCATAGAATCATAGAATAGTTTAGGTTGGAAAAGACCTTTAAGATCATCCAGTCCAACCATTAACCTACACTACCAAATCCACACTAAACCAATCAAGGGTAGACTAGAAGGGTTTGGCACACACTGACCTCTCGAATCTACTCACTGGGAAGTAAGTTCAAGCCCAAGGGATAAAGTTTGATTCTATATTATCCTGCGTTAGACCACCATGGTATCTGACACAAGCAGTGTGTACGTCTCATTTCATTGCCTGACACTCCTGCACTTCAGCTGCCAGGAAGAAATGCAGAATAAATGAGACTGCTGACATCCTTTCGTTCCTTTTCCAGATAATCAAACTAGAATGAAAGGCCTAGCTTGGCATAAAAGGCTTGAGTCATCCGATTCTAAAATCTAAAGAACGTTCACGTAGTTTGGCTTGTACTTTGTCCCTCTCTGCCTGCCTCCAGCTCCCCAGGTTGCATCAGAGTTGCATTTATGTTGCTGAGAGAACCTCTGCCAGATCCCTGGTCAATGTTGTGGTGGTTGTCTTGTTCTTCAGCATAGAGCTGCAGACCCGGGAGCTGAACAGCCAGATCCGGTCAGGGGTGTATGCCCACTTGGCTGCTTTCTTCCCGTGCAGTAAGGACACTCTGGTCAAGCGTGCCCGTAAGCTCTATCTCTATGAGCAGGTGAGTGAATTTGGTAGCGCATCCCTGTGTTGTGTGCATGTTACCCCTGATGTCCAGAGCACAGCTGTGGTCTACCTAACGTGGTGTTGCCCTCCACTGAGCGTGGTTCAGCCACCACATGTGGTGGTGTGGACTCAGAACCGTCAAGGTCTCAACCTGCCAGATTTGGGTGTCTCAGCTGGAACACACCATGTGGAACTTCAGGCTGTTCTGTGCTGTGCTCTAGGGTGGCCGATTGAAGGAACCTCTACAGAAGCTGAAGGAAGCCATTGGAAGGGCCATGCCAGAGCAGATGGCCAAGTACCAGGAGGAATGCCAAGCCCACACTCAGGCCAAGTTTGCCAAGTAAGCTCCTCATTTGCTCGCTACGCACCTGTAGCTCTTCTCAGCAGGCTCCCTGTGACCTGTAGGCTGCTCTGATGAAGTTTACCACCTATTTTTGTTCTGTAGTAAAAAATTGCTGACGGGCATTAATTTGTCTAATTAAGCTGTGTGCGTTCTTTGTGCTGTCTATGGTGATGCCAACTACAGTAGCATTGATGGGACCAGAACTTGGCTGAAGTGTTTCACTTCTATGTGGGCCTGTCTTTAGGAACATGGCAGTCTGAGAACAGTCAGACTGGATTAGTCCTGTGGTCTCTATTACACAGTATTGGGAGATTTCTTAACCTTGAGCACTTAGCTCAGATTGCACCCAAAGCAAGAGATTTAGGCCCTCTTCCCATGCGTGTGTTATCATTGACTATTGAGACCTCTGAACAGTGTTGTTCAGAGATAATTAATCCTGTCCTTGAATCTCCAGGATAATTAATTCCATGTTATCTCTGTCTCTGTTTTAGGATGCTGGAAGAGGAAAAGGACAAAGAGCAACGAGATCGAGTTTGTTCTGATGATGATGAGGATGAAGAAAAGGGAGGGAAGCGCATCATGGGACCACGAAAGAAATTTCAATGGAATGATGAAATCAGGTTTGCATAATTTAGATATTAAAAGAACCTGCGACTTGTCTTGTTTTATGCAGTTGGAAATGAAGCATTTCAGTATTTGTATCTTGTTTTCAGAGCAGTGCTGATCATCTGTAGTAACAGCCAGCTTGGAGGTTTGTGGCAGACTGTGCTGTTTATGGAAGCCACTATTGCATTTATTAAATCTCACCCTTATTTACCTTGCAAAACTAAGCTGATTTCAGGCACAGGCCAACTCTGAGAGAAGTGCTAAGAAGCCTCTGTGCAGAGGCCAAAAGAGAGGGACAGATCTTTGGGGAAAGAAGGACCTCGGCTGAATTGCTGAAATCCTACAGACTAGACTCTTAACAAGACCAGATCTGTGGCTGTGGAAGCAGTTAAAGCTAATGGGGATTGCTGCCCCTGGCACCCAGGGGTCTGACAAAGAACAGAGTGCTGGGCGAAGGGGAGAGGGACAAAGGATAAAACGGGAATCAATCCTGTGGTCGTCTTCATTCTTATTCTGTAAGAAATTGGGGTGCTGCCCTGTAGATGGCTGATTCCTTTAGAACAAATCAAGCTTCATTTCCTGCCTTCTCATTGCCTCTCAGCACGAAGGTCTGCAGAGGGGTTCAGTTCTGCGGTTGTTAATGATGCCTGTAATTCTGGCACTGGTTTAGTACCTCTGCTGTTTCAGGATACTGAAATGGGAAGGGGTGACGAGGCTTTTCCCCCCTGGCGTGTTGATGTGCGTGCACACACAGAGCGAGGAACGTGCCTTTCCCTTCCTCTTCCTTGCAGAGGCAGTGCAGGGTCGGTTTTATTAGCAAGGTGTTATGCAGAGCCAGGCGTGTCTTGGTGTATTTATCCAGCCCTGGGTAAACAGAATGACCTCCAACTGGGGAAAGTTAATCCGCGTAACTGTATTTGAAATCTTCCTGTTCTTCAGGGAGCTGCTTTGCCACTTGGTGAAGATTAAGTTGGATGGTTATGACCTTGACAAGAATAAGGCTCAGTCTCTAGAGGATTATGTGAAGACCTTCCTAGATGGAGAGGTGAAGCCCCTTTGGCCAAAAGGCTGGATGCAGGCCAGGTGAGCAAGAATCAAGTTGTACTGCAGGGATTCCTTGTCATAAGGGACCTCGGAAGGTCATTAGTTCTACCCCTGCTCAAAGAATGGCTAGCTTCAAAGTTAGGTTGGAGTGCTCAGGGCCTTGCCCTATGGAGTTTTGGAAATCTCCAAGGATGCAGATTACTACAGCATCTCTGGGCCCCTGTTCTTAATCACTTTTCATGAAATCTTTTCTCCTTATTTCCAATCAGAATTCCCCTTGCTGCACTGAACTGAATATTCCCTCTTTTTGCTTTTTACTGTGCACCTTTGAGAAAGGTCTGGCTCTATCTTCTTTGTAGCTTCCCTGCCCCCCCTCACTCTTTAGGTAGTGGAAGACTGCCATTAGATCCCTCCTTGGTCTTCTCATTTTCCAGGCTGAGCAAACCCAGTTCCCTCCACCTCTCCTTGTGTGTCGTGTGTCCCTGTTCCTCAGCCATCTTAGTGGCTCTGGACTGTCTCCAGTTTGTCGACATCTCTCTTGTATTGTGGGGACCCTGAAGCTGGATGTTGTATCCAGATTTGACCTCACACGTGCTAAACAGAGGGGAATAAGCACTTGAACTACTGGCTGTGCTCTTGCTAATACCTGCCAGTATATAGTTAGCTCTCAGCAGTACACCCTTGCAGCAGTGGCTCATGTTCAACTTGTCCACCAGGATCCCTGGGTCCCTTTCTGCAAGGCTCCTACATAGCCAGTTGGCCCCCAGCCTGTGTTGCTGCGTGAGGTTATTCCATTCCAGCTGCAGGACTTTGCGTTTGTCTTTGTTGAACTTCACAAGGTTTGTGTTGGCTCCTTTCTCCAGCCTGTCCAGGTCCCTGTAAATGGCAGCCCTGCCCTCCAACATATTCTCCCCCTCCCTCCGTTTTCATATCACCCTCAAACTTACTGAGAGTGCAGTCCGTGCTGTCGTCCAGGTTGTAAATGACAGTGTTGAGTAGTCTTGGCCACCCTTGGCCTCTGATGGATGCCACTGGCAGTGACAAGTTGCAAGGTAGAACCGGGACTGAGGTGAGGCTGATTGGCCTGTGGTTTCTTGAAGCTGTATTACAAAGGATCACTTTGTAATCTGTCTCACAACGGATGCATTTTTCAGACACTTTGGGAAGTCTTCCCTAGACCCTAGAGTATTCCCAAAAGAAAGCAAAGCAGAAAGTTTTAGGGGCTTCGGACTTGCACTAGACGCATCAGATAGCAGAGTAAGTAGGAATTTGGTGTGGTTTTCTTTACCCTATCTGGTGTCTTCACTGCTGTTTCCTGCTCTTTCACGCCCTCCATCATCATGCCATTGAGCTGGCAATTGCAGAGAGCCATACAAATTGCAGAGAGTCATTCTGCTGGCAACGTCATCAGCTTCTGGCCTGCTTTGTTTTGCTCAATAGTTTTAAAGAAAGGACAACTGTACAGTTTTACTGCTGGAATCTATCTCTTTGCATTTAAAGAGCTGGACAGCACTGTCGTCTTCTCTCTGCTGAATTTGCTTTTTGGGTTTCATGGGGGATAAAGGAAGAAGTAGGTACCAGTTCTTAAGAGCAGTAAGTATGAGTAGCACATTACAGATCCATTTGGAAAAATCCATGGCCATTTATTGCAGTTGCATGTGCACATGAAGTACAGTAATGTGCATGGTTGTAGTGTGTTGTTTTAGTGTATGGGAGCTGAATGATGGCATTAAGAGGTGGGTGCAGATTCCTACTCAGTTAATGAAGATATTACCAGCTTGAGGGTCTTAGCTTGCCAAGTTTTAAAAACTTTTCTTTGAATAAAAGGAAATTAAAAACTTTTCCCTCTAGTTTGTGGGTGAAACTGTTCTTAGGCATACAAATTTTCACCTAAGACTCAGTGTAGGAGGGTCTTCCGTTGAAGTTAACTACAGAATGACTGAATAAAAGTGCTTTTCCTGGTTGCTTTCCAGTGGCTCAAGGACAGTGGTTTCTCCTGCTGGGACTTGATGGAGTTGGACTTGATGATCCTTATGGGTCCCTTCCAACTTGAGATATTCTATGATTCTATGACTTTGTGGTTTAAAGACAGAGGGTAGACTGATAGACACACAGAAGGGAAGGGGAGGGATTGGCAACACTAGGAGAATTGTAAACAATTTTATGGTCAAGTCAGCTTCATTCACTGTCATCATGATCATAGAAGTTCATCTTTAAGAGGAACTTGAAGATGGACGGAGTAGAACCTTTGTGTATGAGTTCAGAGAGGCCCTGCCATGGTTCCATTTTCTCAGGCAGTGCTAAAAGGCAATTAACAGAAATAAGGTTAAAATAAGCTTCCTTTTTAAAAGAAAAAGGATGACAAAAGTCTTTGTCAGGCTGTTAATTCCAGGCAGGAAGCATATTCCATATGCCAGTACTGAAGGTGTATTTATAAGCTTCTCACCCTGATATCTAAGGCGGCAGCTGAGTGGCAGCTGTTTTAGGTGAAATAGTGTTTGTGTGAGATTCTGGTTCACTTAGCCTCAGTAGTAAAGGGTTTTGGATGAAGCTGTATTTATTGGTTGTGGTTAGTCAATTGTTACTGAAATGGTTGTGCTGATTGAAAAAGTCACCTCAGCTGTTTGCTGGGGACGCAAAAGCAACAGAGACACGCAGTGTGCAAAGGCTTTTCATCCATGTTGCTGTATTGACACAGGGGAAGGTAACCTTCCTCCCTTGAAGTTGGTGAAGTGCTCTTGTATGATCTGCCAGCTCTTGGATGGACTGTGGCAGCAGTAATGCCCAGTTTGAATGATTGTACTGCCTCTCCAGTTGGCTGTCAGCTTTTTAAGCTGGCAGAGCTTTTTCCTTAGTTATTGTCCAACAACTGCCTTAATGGCCTTTCCAGCGCCTACAAGTATAGCTCCCCAGAGAGGGAATTGTGTGGGGGAGTTCAGGAGGATTTTCCTGGAAAAGGGATGAATATTTGTTTGCTCTCTGTGGTTTTAATTTCACTAAGTCCCCTGCTGTACTGTGCAGCTCTGTCTCCAGTGATCCCAGCTGCTCTACTGGGTCTTGCTGGATATCACTTCTCATTGCTCTCTTCCCTTCTTAGGACACTGTTTAAGGAGAGCAGGCGTGTACATGGACACCTCACATCAGTCCTGTGAGTATCGCGCAGCATTCCTTTGGAGTGATAACTGGTGAACTCCGTTCCCTGGGGCCTGGGTGGATCACGCAGGAGTACCTGAGCTTGCTTGGCTCCCATCAGATAGTTTGGCGCTGCTTCATTTGGGGAGGTCTAGGGAGCGTGGTTGTTTGTGTGTGACATCTCCCAACGACAGCCTTCCTGAGGTGCTTTAGCCTTACAGTAAGCTCAAAGATAAGAACTTTGAAGCCAGGTTGCCTCCTGGCCTTGTTCAACAGACTGGAGTCAGGCCTCTGTGCTAGTCCCTAGGAGGCAGATCAAGGTAAAATGGAGTGTGATGCCAGCACTGTGATGATTGCTACCTGTTCAGTCGGTCCTTACTGGATTCTGGATTCCCTCTTTCTTGTTGGCTGGTTAAAGGAGGGGTACAATGAGATCAAGCTAGTGAAGGTGGGTGCAACAGGCTTGTGGGTGGCAAACCAAGAGAGCCATCGGAATCCAGCTGCGCAGGTGCTTTAATGCCAAAGGGTCTCATGGATCTTGCTGGCAGTCTATAATAGATGATGATATGGATTAGGCTGATGTCTGTTTGACAGACAGTCCTGTTCTTGGCACTGGATGAACGAGGGGAAGTGTGAGAAAGAGATTATGAAACAGAGTGTAGAGTCATCCTTCCCTCAGCCATACCATTCCAGCAGTTCAGGGATGTCTTGTACCAGAGATTGCATCTGACCAGACCAAATGATCTATTTTCCGTCAATTTGGCAGATGCTTTTGCATCCTTGACTTCTTCTGGGAACCTAAAAGAAATGTGTAACTTTTCTCCAAAACAGTCTCTGTACCAGTTTCTCTCTGGGTATTGCTATAGTCAGGTCAGCAGTGGGTTCCTGTAGTAGCTCCTAGCCCTGCAGTCGGTGCAGGTTGTGTCTGTTGAGTGCTTTCACTGCTCTGCTACCATTTCAAGACTCTGCTCCGCTCCCTAATTCATTCCCCTGTGTGGGAGTTGGGGCTTTCTAGAGCAGCAACCAAATGTCATATGGTTTTGAATCCTAGCAACCTGAGATGCTGCCTCTGTTCCCTTGGTTCTTTGCAAAAGACTCAGTGGATCATCATTAACAGGGCCCAAGTGTGCTCCCTAATTGGATGCTTTCCTGTGGGCTTTCAGTGAGCCATGTTTCTTTTGTCTCCCTCAAAACAGGGCGAAGAAGAAGGTTATAGCTCCTACTAAGGTGAAAGTGAAGGTGAGTTCATTGTTTTCTGGTTCCCATGGTTGACATACATAAGAGTCAAGTGTCTGCCATCTTAAATCCTATATTTGAGCCTTGTATCTATACATTAGGTACAGGGAAGTTGTGCTGGGAAATAGCTCTAGTCAGTATTGGGCTTGAAAAAACAGCTAGAACAGCAACTAAAATTGATGGCAGCAGCAGTCAGGAAGGGAGATGGGGCCAGCAGGCACAGAACATGCCTATTCTGCCTTTTATCCCCCAATCAGGAACCTTCCCTTCCCTTTTCAGCAGTAAACCCTGCTTCTCTTCTGACTCTGCCTTCTCTTGTGATTTTCTTCCAGGAATCTTCCTGCAAGCTGGATAAAAAGGTGTCAGTTTCCGTTCCTTCGATGCACTCAAGCAGCACCTTAGCTCTGTCTTCAGAGCCCCAGGGGGGAGCTCTGGGTATCAGTGCCCAAACCAGAGAACTCTTGTCCCTTGGGACAGCCCAAGCAGCCAGCAGCACTGGCACTCCTGCTGCCTTCATGGATGACTCCTTGGATGAGGACTTAATTCATAATCCCACTTCCTCTCTCGAAGCAGTCTCTAAGGAGCTGGCTGTGCTGAACAGCAGAGCGGGAGGGAGCCCTGACTTTACTCTTTCTGGAGCTCCAAAAGCTCCACCAGAGAAGATCTCATCTCTTGCATCCTCAGAGGAGAAGAGGACATTTCCAAAGTCCAACCCTTCCCCTACATCCTCCTCTGGTTCACTCCAGTCTCCTCTAAATTTCCTGGCTGAGCAGGCCCTGGCATTGGGCCAGTCTTCTCAAGACAAAAAGACAGAGAACTCTAATTACAAAGAGCTCTCCTGCCAAGCCTCCCCCAACAAAATCCTTCCTGATGCACACCAGGCTAAACAGAAACACCACAGCCTGATCCGGCCAAGCCACGGGCCTCAGACCTCCACCCCAGTGCCGGGTTCTCAGGTGAAGGTCTTTCACTCAAGCAGCCAGCTACAGAAAACTTTCACCTCCCCGGCTCCATTTGTCAAACTGCAGAATCCCAAGTCCTCCCCACTGCCCCAACGCTCCCTTCTCCAGCAGGTCAAGTCATCAACCAAAGCTCAGAGCTTCCATTCCTCTGCATCACCAGGCAGCACCCAAAACTCCGGCAGCTCCCACAAGAGCCCAGGCTCATCCTCATCATCTCTCAGCTACACAGGAAAACACTCAAGTGGCTCTAGCTCTTCAGGACAATCTTACAAATCACCCTTTGTTTCTGGTTCCCTCTCCAAGCACGGGGCTTCTTCCAGCAGCTCCTCATCTGGAGCTTCTGCAAATCAGGGCTGTTCCTCTGGGAACTTGCTGCCCAGTGTGCAGACGCCTTCCTCAGGCCAGGCGTCCAGCCGCCCATCCTCAAGCTCCTCGGTGAAGAAGACGCCCGTTTCGCAGAAGCTGACTCTGGTGGCACCTCCTGGAGGTTCAAATGGAGATTCTAGCGGGGGCACTCAAGGAGTGGCCAAATTGCTGACCTCCTCCCTAAAGCCAGCTGTTGTTAGCAGCACCGCATCTTCTACCTCTGTGCCGGTAAGCAGGGGTGTGCTGGCCTAGCCTGAAGCCAGCAGAATGCATGGCAGTGTGTCAGGCCATCTCCTAACTTGTTCAGACCTGCTGTAAAGCGACGACTTCAAAAGAATTTCCTGAAATTCTTGAATCGCTGTCTGGGTCTTGGCTGCTTAGGCTAGGAAGTCCTGGCCTTTGCCATGGGCTTGCACTCCAGAATTCAAGCTTTCATTTTCAGCTTAAAGTAAGAACTAAGCAAAATATGGTTCAATAATGTCTCATGAAGGACTCCTGGGTTACCTATACAGACTTGTATTATTCAGCCATTGTATTTAATGGTATAAGGACCTTAATTTTCATCTATAGCAAAAAAGTAATTGTTCCTAATGCTGCTGTATTAATTTGTTGTTGGCTGCTCATACCTCCCTTCTTTTGTGGCACGTGGAAAGAGCTGGGCAATTAAATGAGAATATTTAAATGGGCCTGAAAACCCGGTATTGCTTAGCCCATGTACCTTGTCTGTTACTGAGATAGAGAGCTGAAAAGCATTTTCCAGCGGTATCTCCATGGGAGAGATCTCAGATAACATTCTTGGATGCAGGGGTACACCAAACCTTGGTACCTTGAGTTGTCAGCAGTGATGCTGCTAGAAGTGAGTAGGAAGTACTCTCCAGAACTCACAGGCAGTGTGTAAGCTTTTCCTCTGCCTAATGGAGGCACAGTTCCAGAATAAGGGAACAACAGAGTGAAATCCAGTATGGTCTCATTTAGAAGAGCACAGCGTCCAGCAGCTGGATTGCCAGTGTACTGGGCACCTCCAGATGGCCTCAGGAGTTGGCAGCTCTTGGGCCCTGGCTGGGAGGGCACTTCTTGCAAGGAGGAATGCTTGAGCACCCCATGTTTTGCAGTTCTTTAAGTATGAATGATGCTATGCCTTGGTTTTCCTACTCCTGAGTGACCTTTTCTGTTGCTTTTCAGAAAGGAACTAGTGGAGCTGTGCTGCTAACAAGTTCTTCCTCCTTAAGTGTACTGGCTCCATCCTACAAGTCCAGCAATCCAAAGCTGCCAGCTGCCCTGAGCTCCACCCCATTAGGTATTATCTCTCCTATTCATTCTTTCCCTCTTCATGTCATCTCCTTCAGTTCAGACTCCTCCCCAAAAGCAGGAGTGTCAAAGGATGCAATAGTTACAGGACCTGCTCCAGGAACTTTCCACCACGGCCTTGGCCACAGTGAGTATCCTTCATGGTCATGCATGTGTGTGTGACTTGTGCCTGTGCTGTCAAATAACAAGGACACCAATGCTCTGCTGTGTTAACCCATTGCAGACCAACCCATCTCTCTTGCTGTTGCTTCATGCTGTAGTTCATGCACTTATATCTCCAGCAGTTGCATTTGGAGAACGCTGGGCACGTCCCTATAGCTAGCCCAGAAGTCCCAATAGCTGAAAGCTGAGCTATAAGCTAACTGCTGCAGCTCTTCTGCTCATTTCTGTCTTCGATGTGTATTTGTTCTTTTTTTTTCCCCTCTCCTTTCTTTGTTTTTCTCTCTAGGTCTTCTGGCTGGCTTGCACTCCAGCCCCCACCATGCAGCGCCACTCCCACATTCTGCCCTGTCCACTCATTTACCACAAAGTTTGCCAGGTAACTTGTCAGACGGTCGTGTTTGTCTTCTGCGTTGTGAGTCATCCTGTATCTCAGCAGATACTTCCTCTAGGGGTGAAAGCAAAGCGGTTGTCCACGTTGTCTGACCGGTGCGGTCGTCGCTAAAGCCTGCAGCCTCCCCGAGGTACAAAGTGAGGCGTAGCCCTCTGCGTCCTTTACTGTTTAGTTAGCCAGGGCAAACTTGTGCGTTTCTGGAATGATGAGCCCTCAGTGCTTATAGCAAGTGTTGGTTCATGGAGGTACTCAGCTTTGCTGCTTGTGTCGTGGTGAAGAATTATCCTGCCAGGATTAAAGCTGTGCATGTTTATGCACAGTCTGCCAGGATTGCCCAGGAATGAATATTCTGGCTCTGTGGAGTTTTGTTTCTGGTGACCTATATAAAATGTGTCAGACCAGAATGTCTTGCATCTGTGCTCTGAGCTAATTGCCTGTATCTCCTTCGTGACAAGTTTGTAGTGTAAATGGAGACTGCTTTACTTGGTGTTGACAATGTGATGATTTTGCAGTTAAGCCTGTTCCTGCCCTAGTTTGATGCCTGCAGAAGCAATGCATAAACCTGAGATTTCTGAAGAACACCTTCTCTGCTCGTAAATGGAGTCCTGCCTGGTGGGCTATGAGCATGTGTAAATGTGTAGCACTGTGGAAGTAGGAGAGAAGTAAGGGGGATTCATGCAGCATTTGGAAAATTGAAATGCAGGGCCAGCAGAATGGGCTTATCTGCTTCAGGGAGTTGCTTATTCCATTGGTAATTGCTATTTCTGCTTTCTTGATCAAGTGTTCTTTAGCGCTTCAGTGCAGCTCAGTGCCACTGTCTTAGTACCTGCTCCTGTTGTGATTGTCTTACTGGGCAATATGAGCCTGATTTAGGAGTGGATGTGCTAACCTAATACTGTGGCACCAAGGCCGTTAGATGTATGGATAACCTGCTGGAGTTCATGTGGCCTCCCATAGCAGTCATGGGGTAAAATGCCCTTGACTGCTGAGCGCAGAGCTTGTTTGATGAAGAAAGAAGAGAGTGCCGTGCACTGGTGAAAATTCAAAGAATTTGTTGTCTTTGCTTCTTTTGTTAGAGTTTGTCGGAGGCAGGTTGTTATGCTACTCTGATGTGGTGGAGCAGAAGAAGAATGTACTAGCAGCAATCACTGGTGTGACAGACCCTTCCTTCCTGTTTGTAAATTCACAGTTACTGGAGAGATGACCGATTTTGCTTTGAACATGGGATATGAAATGTATTCTGTGTCACTGAGAAGGGGTTCTCTGTCCCATTATTTGATGGAATTTAGAGTGGTTACTTCACTGTTGCTTATAGGGCTTATAACAAAAGAATTTTTTGATGGACTGCTGCTCTTAAGCAGGCCATAGTGCTAGAAGCTGCAAGTAGACAAAAGGTGACTAGGAATAAGTGAAGAAAAACTGACCATTGAGACAGATTCATCAGGGACCCACTTTCTCACTTGGTGTTTTCACATAAAGATTGGAGATTGAGCCTAGTGCTGTTATCTCTGGGAATATTACCAGTTGTGGTGTTTTGTAGAACACAGTAGATATTTAAGTGACCACTGTGATCTTAATTTGTTTTGTGGCATAAACTGTGGTTGGCTGTGTAAGCAAATGGCCACAGCTGCATTGCTCTGTCTGAAAGCTGTGAGGACTCTGGTGTGTTGGGAGGTTGCTATGAATGCAGGGAAACATTGATGCCTTAAACGAAAGTGCTTATACCAGCATTCATCAAAAAGCATTTGAGCAAGGAGCATCCAGTGCTTGCTTGTGTGTTGTCACTTCTGCATTTGCTGGTGGAGGTGCCTGTGTGCTGGTGCTGTGGTGATGGTTCTGACTGCTCGCTTTAGAAATGCGACGTGCTGGGGCTGAGCTCTTGCATGGAATGAACTGTCCTTGTCCTGGAGAAGAACCTGTTGCTGTGCTGCTCAGTGCCACTGCTGCTTAACCGCACATCTCAGTACACCCATTTGTTCATCATAGTCTGATGGTAGTTCTAATTGCTCCTGGAAAACTTCTGCTTCCTTAAACTTCCTTCCTTTTTCTCCCTTCAGTGCATTTTCTCTTTTCCCTCCATGTCTATTCCTTTCTGTTACTTCAGTGGTTAGATTCCTGATTCCTGTTGCTATCAGTGGGCACCTAAAGCCTTCATTACAATAGCAAAGGTGTACTGACGGTGTTATTTCAAACCACCTTTAGATGCAAGGCAGCCAGTACCATGTATTTCTAGTTTCCTAGATGGGGAGACATGGTAGGATGGCTTTTAGAGGAGGGCATAGGCTAGCTAGTCAACCAGCAATCTGAATCTATGCCATGGTGCTTTTGCTGGGAGGCCACAGGAGACCCTCAGTGTTTCCCGTGTCCCTTACTCAGGTGCAGAGGCAGGGCTGCTCCCAGTTTTAAGATGTCTCCAAGCACATTCTCTTACCCCCTGAATCCTTGGTGCTGGAAGGGAAAAATAGAGACATCTGGCTGTCCCAGCTGCATGCAGCTCTGTGGAGCTGATGCTGAACCCCCATCCCACTTTATTTTCTTTCAGATGCTTCTCAGCTTCACGGCAAAGGGTCCAATGCACAGCAGCGCAAGTTGTGATGTCTGCAAGGAGGGGAGCTAGAGCACACATAGGATAAAACCAAGAGGAACAGGTCATGAACTTTGGATACCGGCTGTGTCTTTCTCCCCCGG